TACCTTTTCTCCATTCGTGAGTAATTTTGAATTTGTGTTTTCTCTTATATCTAGTAGTAAATATTTTACCAATTATAATTGTGCTCGTGTTCATGGAATGGTAATTGGTAATTGATTATCATTTTTTGTCCTCAGTAGAGTATAGTAATTGTGCTATGTTTCTTAGGCAAAATACATGAACCAAATATGAAACATTTAATTGCAACGTAAGTTTATATTTTAAGAGACTTAGTAATATTTTCTTTAACTTTGTAATTAGTGTATTGTGTGAGGTTTAAATTGTTTTCAATATATAGGATTGTGAAAGAAACCAATATGTTGAAAGGACTTAGAAAAAAACTCAAATTTTATACCCCTTTAAAAAGTTTTTTATTCGTGACATTCATTTATCTATAGTCACATGTGTTTTTGTGTGTATTATTATTCACTATATAAAATAAACTTGGAGCTGAGGAAACAACCAGGAAGATACAAGCGGGAGTCTTGCGAGTAGGTAATATATATTTACAATAATATATTAATGATTTTGACCTCATAAAAAATTGTGATTATTTCAAATCAAGTGATCTTACATTTCCTTCAAATCTATATAGATGTTTAACGATAGTACATCATTCACATCAGAAGACTTTAAAGATGTTCGTACACATTAGGAATCTTGCTTCATTGAGATTTATAGGCCAAAGTGACACTGATTTTGTATTATATGTTTACAATATATTTGTTTTGATTTAAATAATGCTTAAGTTTGTTTAACATTTTGGTACTAGATGGAAGCCATTGGGGCTTATATATATTGTAGAGTTTTGTTATATGCACAATTTTGTTCATATATATTACGTTCATGTAGAAAATAAGTATAAAATACGGGAAATAAAAAAGAATTTGGTATATATGAAAAATTTAAAAATAATATTTTAAAAAAATAAAGGAATTCACCATGGTTGTATCAACCAACCATGATGAAATATGGCGCGCTAACTATTTTTACTTGTGGTTTAATTGAGAATCGAACTCATGACCTATCAACATTTTAACACAGTTGATAATCTTGATTGTTGTGAAATGTGGCACATTACCTAACTTCTCACCACATCCACTAGTCCGTGATAGAAACTATCACACTTTCTATCACACCCTTTTATTACCACGAACCATCAATCATTGAAAGATATTTTTTGTAGTAGTGCACCTAATATAGATTTCAACACTAAGAAACAAATACCCTTTGGGTTGAATATGAGAGAAAATAACATTTTGAAATGATTGAAAGTGGTGAATGAAGAAATGAATTCATTGGAGAATAAACATAGAATATGTGAAACTACGTGAGAGACAAATGGTGGTTAGTTGTAAGTAGATTTCTAAAAAGAAGGAAGGTATTCAAAGGATTGAGTGACCAAGGTATAAAGCAAGACTTATATGGAAAATGGTTTTACTAAAGATGAGGGAATTAATTACAATGAATTTTTTCACATGTGATCAAAAGTTGTTTTAGAAGGGTCTTTATGTCTATTTAAAATCAAATATAATCTTGATTTAGAACAAATAGATGAAAATATCATTTTCTTACATGAAAAACTAAAAGAGATAATCTACGGCGACCAACTTGAAGTTTTATAATTGATGAGTCTTAAGGTGTATATTTTGAAGATTTTTTTTTTTTGTATTATTTAAAGTACAGTCGTAAACAATGATAATGTAGGTTTGATGAATTTCTTATAAAGCATGATTTTGTGGGAAATGATAATGATAGTTGTGTTTACATATAGAAGAGGAATGGTGAAGTAATTTTTAAAGCTCAATGAAACATTGAATAGAGAATTTAATATGAAATATTTTGTTGAATTTAAGAAGAACCTAGGTATGGATATCATGAGATGTCCCAGGAGTGAATTATTCTTCTCAATATATTTAATTGAAAAAAACGATGGAGCTCTTTAAAATTATTGATGCTTGAACTTTCAATATTCCTTTGGATTATCACACTAAAATTTTGGTTATTCAATGTCCTTAAACCTAAGCTGAGAAGAAGATGTTGGAGATTACTACCTATGCAAGTGGAGATGGAAGTATCATGTATGCTATGATTATTTTATTACATCAAACTTAGCATATGTAATTGGTATAATAAGTTTGTTTGTGAACAAATTCAATTGAGTTTATTGGTAAGATTTGAAGTGGATGTTGAGATATTTAAAAGTTTTATTGGTAAGATTTGAAGTGGATGTTGAGATATTTAAAAGGTTCATTGGAGGGTGATTTAAAGTAGAAGAAGAAAATTGAAAATAAAAACACTTTGGATGGATATGTAATTGCATACTACACATGAAATATGGACACCGGAAAATCCTTATTAGGTTTTGTATTTATATTGTTTTAGAGATCATAGGTTTCAGTTGGTTAAAAGGTATGATTGGGGGGTTAGAAATTTGTCAAGAATGTGTGAAGATATATTATAATAGTCAAAGAAAAGTTTATTGGCTTAATATTCAAGTATATCACGGGTTGATAAAATACATTGAAATTCATTTGTATTTCATTAGAGACTTGATTGATTCAAAGGTGATTAAGGAGCAAAATGATTTCGTGAAGGGATGATTGATTACTGACAACACATTGATTGCTATGGAGTGTTTTCACTAGATGAGAGTCAAGGGGTGGAAGGAGGGGTCTCTGTCGCAGGCAGGTAATGAGGTCCTCATAAAATTGTTGCTCAGGCTATTCTCGATTATATCATGAGTTCTTATAAGCTCCCTGAGAGTTGTTGCAATAAAAATAAGGTTTTATTAGCAATGTTCTGGTGGGAAAGGAAACTGCACTGGATGAAGTGGGACAAATTAGCAGTGTCTAAGGATATTGGTGGCATGAGTAAAGATGCGTTAGGGACTCTCCAAGAAGTCGAAGATGAAGGCCGATGCGTAAAGTGTTCAGGATTTAAGCTTGAAGAACTTCACAACAATCAAAGTTGATGCTGATTGTTTCCCAGATAGAAGTTATTCCCTTGATTGTGTAATTAGGAATCTGAAGAATAAAGTCATTTTGGCGGCTTGCAAGTTGGAACTGTGGATCCTAGTATGTCGAAAATTATGGCTGTCAGGTGGGAATTGCAAACGAAAAAGGCCTTGCATCTTGATAGAGTTTTACTCTAGTCTTATGCTTTGACATTGGGTGAATGTATTTATTATGTTAGAATTTTGGCTACTCTTGAACATATAGCTGCACGACTATAGGAACATCTTAGATTCTTTTTAAGGATGTTGATGTTATGTTTGTTAGTAGGAATTATAATCTTGATTTGCACCATATATAGGAGAAGGGAAAAAGGCTCGGTTCTAAAACTTAGTTGGGATGCATTCCTCATTTGGTTGGAGACTCCTTTTTTGCACCTCTCACTTTTCTATCTTTTAATCAAAGTTATGGTTTGATTGTAAAAAAATAACTTGGTGCAATGAAAATTTGAATATTTTTCAAGGAAGAAATAAGTGACACGGTGCTGAACAATATCAAAATACTATCATGAATTTTGTTTATCAATGTGACCATTATGGTCCTATATTCTCAATATTGGTCTTTAATGCTCTTGCATTTGTATTGTAATAAGAATTTTTTTATTGGGAAATGTGTATAATCAATACACTTAAAATTGAAATCACCAACTTTTTAAAAGAATATTTTATTTATATAAAATCTTTAAAAAGTGTTTTTGAGACACTCATTAACATAACCCTTTTATTATGCTGGAGTACCTATTTGACTCCCATTAATACATTTTATGCTTAAATACAATTTTAATCTTGACAATTATATAGTATTTTCGTTTTAGTTCATCTAACTTTTTTAATTATATTTAATCTCCATTAATTTAAAAATGGTATCTTTTAAATATCTAACATCATATATGACTTAATCCTTAAATAACTTTCAAATAAATTTTTAGGATAATGAATCTTCAAAAATTCTCTCTTTGTCTCTCTTAGTCTCACTCATCTCATGCATACATAAAAATCATATAGAAAATAACTTAATTATAATTAGGGATGTCAATGAAGAAGGAAATATTCTAATGATATTTTTACACTCCTCGTCCTGTTCTTTAATTTATTTTTCATTTGCGTCTCTAATCTCTGCTACGAGAGAATATTTTCCCTCATCTCCATCTCCACAGATTTTCACAGAAATCCACGAAGATCGAATCTTAAAAAAATTTATATACTTTTCAATTAAAACTATTACACTAGTATTTCATTTTTTTTCTTTTTTTTTAAGAACGTATATTTTGCATCTTTCCTTTTTTAAAAAATAAAAATACATCTTGCATCAATAACAATGAATAAGGGATAGTAGTTGTTGTGATAATGATGAAAATAAAGGAGATGATGAACGGAAGAGACAAAAATAATTGAGAAAAGAAAAAGAGGAGATGGTGTGAATATTCTATGTATTAGATTCACTTTTCTAAGATTTAAGTACTTAGATACTAAAACAATACATTATAAAATAAAACATAAAAATAAAATGATCTACTATTTATTCTTTCTTTTCTAATACATTAATAATTTTTATGTAAAATTATATAATTATATATTATATAATATATAAAATATAAAAATTAAATAATATAATTAGAATAAGAAAATTCACAGGACGAATAATATTTTTTTAATCTCAGCATCAAAAAAATCACCAATGGAATAAGGAGTTGATTCTGAATACTCCTTCAACTTCAAAATTACTATCATTTTAACAAATAAAATTTGATACACTTAAACAAATTATAAAAGAAAAATAGAAAACATTATTATATCAATAATAATAATAAATTAATTATTTTCTCTCCTATATTTTATCGCACATGAATGTGCCCAAATCCAAAATATTTATGATCCTGCCTATGTGCAGGAGGGGTATATAATCAGGGTTAATTCTGAGGTTTGAAGTGTTTGGCCTGTTTATACTTTTCTGAAGAAATTGCGGCATCACTACACTAGGTTGCTCTCATGGCTACCCAATCGCCGAAGTTACGGTGTCGCCGCCGTAAATCGAAGTCATGGAACACTCTTATCTCTGATCCTACATTCATCAAAATGCATTTCAATCGATCATCACTAAATCCACAATTCTCACTAGTAGCTGCAAATAACAATGATCACAGTTTTGTAAGCTTCCCTGTTAAAATAACGCCATTGCATCTTTCTGAGGATGGTGATACACTATTATTAGCAAACGACCAACAAGACAATGCAATTCTCTATAATCGGAGAAATAACAGAGCAAAGAAAACTAGAGTTAACAATAAGATATGTTGGTTCTCTATCAGAGATTATGTCCAAAGTTATTCTAATTCTTGTGGTTCTAGAAAGTAGGCATTAAACCATATATGTATATGGTTAAGCTGTTTTCTTTTAGCAGATAACAACATCCAAGAGGAGTTTAATCTTGTTCATAGTTCTGTTCCCATTCAACTTTTGTTCTCAAATCATTACCTACCATAAGTTCGGACCTGAAGTATTGAAATTGTCTTTGGTTAAAACCATGTGGGCTTCTTGTGTGTTTCTTTACACTTCCGGATACTAATTCTCTAAACAAATATTTCACAAGAAATTAAGAAAAACAACAGAATTTAAAATTAGAGAGACAACCTATCATGGAAAAAAGTCATTTTTAATACAAAATGCAATTTCGAATTCTCAAGGCAATAAAGCAACAACTTCTTGTCCTCCTGCACAAGGGTTCTCTAAAATAAACAAATTTTACTTTTGATTTAGGGAGGTTTTTCTCTGATTTTTATCCATCCAAAACATGAAATTATAGTTTATTATAGTCCTATCTAAGAGCACATTGGAGTGTATTGAATTGGTAAGTGATATTGCTTCAATAAGGGACCTTAGTTAGCATTAAAACCACAAAAATTTAAGACAAATTCAATTTGTGAAGTTGAAAATTGTTTTGTGACCACTAAAATGAAAAGCAGCATCATGAACAAATTGAAATAAGGCAGTACTAACATACATAAACAAACTACTGACGCGAGTCTCGAGCCTCACACACAAACCAAAAGAAATTGAGGAGAGTCATACTTTATTTGAAGATCGAGTCTACTTTATTTGAAGATCCTCCATAACTAATTTTAAGAAATTGAGTCCAAGACTCTTGGATTTCAAATTCCATCACCATCCATATAACAAAATGAGTTATTTTAAAATTGTATGAAAAACAAAGAAGCCTCTCAACACAACAATAGTGGCAAAATAGTGGGAACTTCTACTAAACCATGAGGGGGAAGCTATTGGTTGTATGTCTCAGTACCCAAATCCAACAAAATAATCACAAATTGATCAATTTTTGAAATACCTCCATTTTCAAATTCTCCCCAAAAATATTTGGAATTTGGAATGGCCAACTAGTTAGCAGTGCTATTTAAATACACTTCTTCGTTAACACTGAAATGTATGACGAACAAGATGTTAGAAAAAAAATTATAGAGAAAAAAGAGGAACACAATAACAACACAAGAGATTAACGTGAAAATTTTAAAACCGGAGAAAAAAACCACGATCGTTGTCAAATGATAATCTGAGAATTACAATACATAGATTACCCTCAACCACTCAAATCTCCAATACACCCGCACTCTCTAAAGAAAATATTTAATTATCTCTCACAACACTCTAAAACAAGAGTATAAGAGAAAATGTAAAAAGTCTAGTACATCGGGTAAAGAAAAACTTAAATCATATATATAGTCATGGATTCCCTCTTCCATCCCTAAACTAAGCGATATGGAACTTAGAAGAACTTTAATCTTATATATAGCCTTGAACTCTCTCTTCCTGCACAAAACTAGCCGATGTGGAACTTTTTCAACATGTATATTTTCAACCAACCCCAAATAATCTCCACCTTGATCGAAAATAATACATAAGCTTTCATTCTCTTCACCAACAATCATACTCTACCATAAATAATATAGTCACTTGAAGCTACATCACTCTAAGAATTTTCACACTGTCTCACCGATAATCATAATTTTAACTATAATACTCCACCTAAAGAAGAGTCTTCTTCACTTGAAGCTAAAACACTTTAAGAATTTTCACATGTCGAAAATCATGTTGAAACTTTATGGTACAACTTTCATGTTGGTAGGAAGCTCTTCAACCATCGACATAATCTCACAACAGACTTTGCATCAATTCCTATGTGTTAAACCGCTAGCAATAACTTGTCCTTTTCCATGACACCGAAAATGTCATGAGGACACACTTCTCAATTTTCAGACAATATCATCCTCTCTCACATCGAGAGAGACATTGTTAGCATTTGACTCAGAGTCCTTCTCAGACATTGTCCCATCAGGACATTTATACTTTATATGTCAAATCTTTCCATATTTCCAATATCTCACACCTGTTTCATTGTCTTTCTTCATATAAAGCCTTCCTCTAGCAACCAACACTGAGTTCGATGAAGTATTATCCTCACCTTTCAATCTTCTTTCTTCAGAAATAATTTTGCTAGCAATTTCTTCAAAACTTAAAGTTTCCTTCCCATATATCAAAACAGGTTTAATATGTTCATAGGAATATGAAAGAGACCATATGAATCTCAAAGCTTTATCTTCATCGTCAATCTTGACTCCAATAGTTTCTAATTCATAAACAATATCATTTAGGACAGTTAGGTGATCAGACACTTTTGTATGTTTATCCATACGCAAGCTATGAGATTGCTTCTTCAAGAAGAAACTATTTGATATATCTTTTCCTTGATATATCCCTTCAAGTTTCTTCCAAAGCTCTTTGACTGACGACGTACGAAGAACATTCACAAGAATATTCTTAGCCAAAGACATGCGGATTATACTTGAAACTCTCAAATCTAGTTCCTCCCACTTCTTGTTGTCTATGTTGGAAATGTTTCCTTTCAATGCTTTGTGTAATCCTAATTGTATTAAAACACCTTTGACTTGAATTTAACACAAGTCAAAATTAATTCTTCCATCAAATTTATCTAAGTCAATCTTCATTCGACTTGAAAAATTAGACATTATAACTAAAACCTTTCTTGCAGCAAACCAAAATTTTGCCAACCAACGCTGAGTATAAAATTTAATTTCTGATGTGAAAGATCAGACAAAACTACAACCACAATGCATACTAAAAGTTACACCCTACCAAATCAAGCCTCTTGATACCACTTGTTGGGAAAAATAAAACCATAGAGAAAAAATAGAAATAAAAAACAACACAAGAGATTAACGTAGAAACTCTAAAATCGGAGAAAAAATCACTATCGTTGTCAAATGACAACTAGAGAATACATCTTGTAAAGAAAAACTTGAATCCTATATATAGCATTGGATTCTCTCTTCCATCACTAAACTAAGCGATGTGAGACTTAGAAGAACTTTAATCATATATATATAGCCTTGGACTCCCTCTTCCTTCACAAAACTAACCAATGTGAGAATTCTTTCACATGTATATTTTCAACCAACCCCAACACAAGAGTCACATGATAGTAAGAAACAATAGCAAAATATTGAATACTTTTCAAAATATTATTGTGAAAACTGAAAATTTTCACCTCTTTAGGATAGAATGCCACTGCTTTGAAAGTGATTGCTGATTTATTATAACCAAATACAAATCTGAGATAGTTAGATCGATCTTCACCTCCATAATATGGATGGCTATCGGAATGGGAAATAAAACCTAATTTTTGAGATATTGTCTTGGTGGTTGGGTTCCACAAATGAAACCATGTATTTAGATCACATGGACATATTCGACAAGCCAAGTTTTATAAGAACTAAACAAATAAAGCAATCCATTCACAGAACCGACGACTCAAAAATAATGTTTGTACTTCAATCGATGGTGAGGGAGAATGGTAGTAAAGTGTTGAGGCGAAGGGTACAATAGAACAATCTCTATCATAATAATAATCTACCATAGTCCTGCACAAGATTAGTGTAAAATTCCTGTTTCTTTTTTGTGATAGATGAAGAAAAGATCAGAGATGAGTAATCTCCATGGCTTGCAGACGCATTTGAATCATAAAATAGATTTCACAGGAAGGATTGATAGAACTTCTGTGATGAAAATACTCTTGCTAAGTAAAAGATGGTTATCCCTTTTTATTATGGTTAAAAATAATTTGTGTCAAAAATACTCTCTAGGAGTGAAGTTAAATGATAAAATTGTAAAGCTGTCGTTTTTTATGGTATGTTATAGGAATGGAGAAAAGCCTCTTAAGTCAATGTTTGACTCATAGATAAAAAGTTTATTTTTTGTGAACACAATGATATCTCAATAAAGGATCTAGAAGTAGTGATGTACTTTCACCATCTGAGCTATTTGAAATGTATTATAATTCGATAGGTTTTATCACTTATCTCATATGTGTTTCCATAAGTACTTAAGTAGGTTTATCTACTAACAATCTTATAATAATCTCTATTGGAAAAATGTAATATTCTATATTTTCATAAATGCTAATTTTTTCAATAAGTGGAATAGATTGAGTAATTAGTGAATTAAGAAGAGATTAATTATTCACCAATTCTCTTAATCCTTATTAGTACTAAGTGTCACGGTGAAAAATCGAGGAGATCAAACTATTGGGAAACTTGACTCACAATGACTTTAAGAAGTCACCACTGAAATTTATTTTTTTCAAGAAAAAAGGAAAAGATTGAAACCCTAATTGTTTAACATGCAATGCAAGAAGTAAAGACTAAAAGCAAAGCATAAGGAAGAGATCCAAGGTACATGGTGTTGAAACAGTAACGCGGCAAGCAAAAGTAAGCAAGTATTTATTTTTAATCATATCGTCTTCACATAGATTAGTGCTATTGAATTTTCGTTTGACAATTTCTCGCGTTTATGAGTTTGAGTTAAAATGGGTTTAAAGTAAACGTGAGAATTAAAACTATTAACAGAAAAAGAATTCATTCTTTAGAGAGAATAAATTTATCCGTCATGCATGTAATCCACTACTTACAAACTTAAACCTATCGACCAAGTTATACTCAACCTACAATACTCCTCAATGTCAACACGTATCACTCACAATCTAGATTATGTTTAACCCAAATTGAGAGAACAATTGTATTCCTGCGTCGGCTCGGATGCCCCAAGTGAATGTGAGCTCTAAATCTATCTTTAGAATCTATAAACTAATAGATATCCAACCCTAATCAAGATTTAGGAAGCATATGTCTATGATCACCCAAATCCCAACTAAAGCAAAAAGATCAAGGAAGACACCGACAAAGATTTGTAAAGCAAGCTTTATACAACACCATAATCAATAAATATACATATGTTTAAAGAAAATATACAAACCCAAAAAAAGAGAA